TTCAGTCATTCTCTGCCAATGGGTTTTCTTGACATTCTGAAGACGAATTCTGGTTGATGATGACGAATAGAATTCGTCTCCTCAATCTTGAGAAGACCTTGTATGCTTCTCGACCAAAGACTGTTCGTCTCTTTGATCTTGGATGACAAGAGAAGTTCTTGTGTCCATTGTTGAACTCTCCTTGTTGAACACATGGAAAAGTTCTTGTGTTTATTGATAACAATTGTTTGTCTTAGATACAAACAACTGTTCATGTGTTCTTTGATCTTGAATGTGGAAGAAGGCTTCCGTGTTTATTGATAAGATGAAGGGATTAATCTCTTAATCTGGAACGCAGGCAGAAGTCCTGCGTTCATAGCTTTTGAACGCAGGTTTAACTCCCTTGCGTTCAGGCTGATCCTGACGCATGTTTAGATTTACTGCGTTTGCCTCCATCTATTTTATTAACTTTGCTTTGGCTCATATGCCAGGTGGGGCTTCTGCTGCTGAGCCCATTGTTGTATCTGATGATGAAGAAGAAGGAGTTCTCCCAGAGAACGCCCCTCTAATTACACCGCTTGCAATGGTTCCTCGTGGTAAAGTGTACACTCCAGACCTTGAGAGTGTAACTTTCCTCACCAATCTCCTAGAGAACATGGTGAAGCAGGCACACTTCATCGCGGAGCAAGGATGGGCTCCATTTTCAGATTTTCTGGATTCGTTCTTTGATGTGATGGACTTGCTAGAACGCCTCAATCGCAGTTGGGCTGGTCACTGTGTCAGGAAGGTTCACTCGTTCAGACGTTCAGTGGAACTCATAGAAGAGCTGCAGAGCACTGACTTGGAGCCTGAGATAGAAAAGACTCTTCAGGCTTTGCGATCAGAAGCTAGCACTGCTGCTCTCACCGCCGAAGAACTGAGAGCGAAGGCTGCCACAGAGGTCCGAGCTAAAAATGCTGCACGTATAGCTCAGGCTAGGGCCCATCTCGCGTCCTTTTCTCTTCGGGAACCACCTTTTTATATTCGATAACTTTTTAGTCTGTAATAACTTTTTGATACTCTCATGACAATTATGACTTTTGCCTGTGATGAATTGTGGACATCTCTTGAAATGATATGGTTTTTCTTGTGGTATGAAAACTTCTGTAAAGTTATTCTCTTGTGTCTGAATGGTTTGAACGCAGGCCCATTGAGGACATCTGGCTTTGCCAAACAGGTTTGACCTCGACTTCAAGACTTGGATGATAGTCATAAGTCTGATCTTTTAGATTTCTTCTAGCTTGTAGAGTACCTTCTGAAAGTTGGAACGATCATGTTGTGCGTTCATTGGTGTGAACACAGTGTCAGATTCTGTAGCTGTAGGACTTGAAACGCAGCTGTAGACATGTCTTGAATGCAGCCATAAAACTTGCGTTCAGGAGAGCCGAACGCAGGCTCTATCAAGGACGCAGGATTCTGACTTCGTGTTCAAATAGATCTGAACTCGGCTTTGAGATTTGAGCTGTGTTCAGACAAGTTTGACGCACTCCAATTTGTGAACGCAACATCCGATTCTACGGCTGTAGGACTTGCAACGCAGCTGTAGACATGTTTTGAATGTAGCCATAGGACTTGCGTTCAGGAGAGCTGAACGCAGTCAAGATTGGGACCTTTTCTCAAACAGATTATGCTGATAGTTATCTGAAAGACTTTAGAGAATTCTTTTATTAAAATGAACTTTAAATCGTCAGAGGTGTAGTGTTAACTTGACGACATACAAAGTAGAAGAACTTATTTGTTCAGACAGACATTTGATGGGCAACTCCCAACTTGTAGTTTACGGGTAATATTGCTTGAGAAATTTTCCATTAATTGGCATCATAAGTCTGTCGCCTTTCTTGTTGATGAGACGATAAGCTCCGTTGGAATAGACTGTCTCAACAACAAAGGGTCCTTCCCATTTGGGATTGAACTTCCCCTTGGTTTTGTGGGTCATTACCATGGGTCGTCGATTAGCCAGAACCAAATCGCCTTTCTTGAAAATCCGTTCCTTAACCTTTTTGTTGTAGGCTTTAGAAATACGGGCTTGATATAGTTCGATCTGTTGTTGAGCCTGAAGTCGTTTGTCGTCTAAGGCTTCAAGCTCTTGCAGACGTCGCTCGTGTTTCTCTTCATCTGTCAATCCGGTTGCGATAGCGACTCTTAATGAAGGAATTTGGATTTCTAATGGCAGTACGGCCTCACAGCCGTATACCAAAGAAAACGGCGTAGCTCTTGTAGGGGTCCTTACTGTTGTACGGTAGGCCCACAAACATTCACCGAGTCTTTCGTCCCAATCGCGTCGGCTCTTGGACACGAACTTTTTGAGGAGCTTCACGATAGTTTTGTTAAAAGCCTCTGCAAGCCCATTCGCCGGCGGATAGTATGCCGTGGATGCGACACTTTGGATGCGAAGTTTATCACAGAATCTCTGAAACCCAAAGCTGACGAATTGTGTTCCGTTGTCGTGAACTATTCGTCTCGGGACTCCAAAGCGATATACGACATGATGTTTAATGAACTTGATCACGTTCTTTGTCTTGACTTCTTTTAGCGGGATTGCCTCTGCCCACTTAGAGAAATAATCGGTTACGGCCAAAATGAACCGGTGTCCTTTAGAAGTTGGAGGAGAGATTGGTCCCACAATATCCATGCCCCACATTTCAAATGGCCAAGTTGCAGATGTAGGATGTAGATTACCCGGCGCTTGGTGGATAAAATCGCCATGAATTTGACATTCGTGGCAATGTCTGGCGTAGTCCACCGCGTCTGCGAACATCTTCGGCCAATAATAACCAATTCGTCGAAGACGATCGCCTAACTTAGCTCCAGGCTGATGAGCTCCGCACATTCCGTCATGAGCTTCCTTAAGAGCTTCTTTTGCCTCCTTCCGGGAGAGACATCGAAGCAAAATTCCATCATGTGATCTACGATACAGGGTTTGAGAAACTGCATCGTAATAGAATTGGAGGGCCTTCCGTTTGATAGTGGCCGCTTCCTTGTGGTCATCGGGCAAAATTCCGTATATAGCATAATCGATGTACGGGAATCGCCAATCTCTAGCTTCTAATTCCATCGAGGTTGTGCAGACTTCTCCTATCGATGTCTCATTTGAGCTTTCCTCTGTAGGAATCTTGAAACAGTATAACTCGCGTCCTGCGACTGAGATAGTAGTCTCAGCCCCTGGGGGTAATGCTAATGAGGTTGCTAAAGAGGCTAATGCATCTGCATAAGCATTCTGAGCTCGCGGGATGTACTCAATAAAGAAGCCCTCGAACTTCTTAGCTTGCTCTAGCACTGCGAAGTAGTAC